GTCGGACAAACACTTCTTCAGGTTTTGATACGTGGAATACTGGATGTACTTTGTTAAGCTCTATTGGAAGTCGGAGTTTGTAGGCTACTGGACCAACCCTTGAAATGATTTCGAAGGGTCCAATGTACCTAGGATTTAGCTTCCCACGCTTTCCAAAGCGTATCATTCCCTTCCAGGGTGAGACCTTCAGTAGTACCCGATCGCCAATCTGAAATTCCAAGGGTTTACGTCTTTTGTCGGCATAGCTCTTTTGCCTATCCCTCGAGGATTTCAGTCGTTCTCGTATTTGCACGATCTTTTCAGTAGTTTCTCTGATGATCTCTGGACCAGTGAGGGTGCTATCAGGGACTAGACCTTTTGCTAGTTGTGTGTCGCCCACTTCCGTCCAGCACAGAGGTGATCTGCACTTACGGCCGTAAAGGGCTTCAAATGGAGCAGTATTGATACTAGTATGATAACTATTGTTATAAGAGAACTCAACCAAAGGTAAGTGAACATCCCATGCTTTACCAAAGTCGATTACACATGCTCGCAACATGTCTTCCAAGGTTTGGATCGTTCTTTCGCTCTGTCCGTCAGTTTGGGGGTGATAGGCTGTACTCATGTCCAATCTTGTTCCCATGGATTTTTGCAATGATTGCCAGAATCTAGACGTGAATCTGCTGTCTCTATCCGAGATGATAGACATTGGCACTCCATGGAGTCGTACGATCTCTCGGATGTAGATTCTCGATAGCTTTTCCATTTTATCAGTTTCCTTGATCGGTAGGAAATGAGCGGACTTGGTTAATCTATCGACGATTACCCAAATAGTATCTTGGCCACCCTGAGTTTTGGGCAGTTTCGTTATGAAGTCCATGGAAATCTGCTCCCATTTCCACTCAGGAATTTCAGGTTGTTGGAGTAGTCCTGAGGGTTTCTGGTGTTCTATTTTGATCTTGGCGCAAGTCAAACACTTGCTCACATATGTAGCGATCTCTGCTTTCATGTTTGGCCACCAGTAGAGTTGTTTGAGATCTTGATACATCTTGTCTGACCCGGGGTGTACGGAGTATGGAGTCTTGTGTGCCTCGCTCATAACTACCTCTCTAAGTCCACCAAACTTGGGCGTCCATATTCGGTTCATGAGGTAGCGTGCTCCGTCACTCTTGATTTCTAAATTCTTGTCCATTCCCCTAAGGGTCTCACCTGTCACGTTTTCGGGTTTCAGGGCCTCTATTTGAGCTTCCTTGACTTGTGTCGACAGGTGCGAATGGATTGACATGGCTAATGACTTCACTCTTCGGCCAGAGTACTCCTTACGACTAAGGGCATCTGCCACGACGTTAGCCTTTCCTGGATGATAGCGAATCTCACATTCGTAGTCGTTGAGCAATTCGACCCAACGTCGCTGTCTCATGTTCAACTCCTTCTGGTCGAAGATGTGTTGTAGGCTCTTGTGGTCTGTAAAGATAGTGCATTTGGTACCATATAGGTAGTGTCTCCAGATTTTAAGAGCGAAGACCACCGCCCCAAGTTCTAAATCATGAGTGGTGTAATTGACCTCATGCGTTTTCAGTTGTCGTGAGGCATATGCAATAACCTTTCCCCTCTGCATTAGTACACAGCCCAGCCCTTGCTTCGAAGCGTCGCAATACACCACAAAATCTTCGGTCCCTTCTGGGAGAGAAAGGATGGGCGCACTGCAAAGGGCCTGTTTCAAAGTCTGAAATGCAGCATCTTGCTTTTCTCCCCAATTGTAGGTCACACCTTTCTGGGTTAAGGCGGTAAGAGGCTTTGCGATGCTGGAGAAATTCTGGATGAACCTTCGGTAATAACCAGCAAGACCTAGAAATTGGCGAATTTCTGTTGGTGTAGTTGGCGCAGACCAGTTTTTGATAGCCTTGATTTTTGATGGATCCACGTGGATTCCTTCCTTGCTGACCACGTGACCGAGGAAGTCCACC